CCCAAGAAGCCTCCAAGACGGTCCAAGAGGGCCCCAAGAACACCCCCAAAGGGGCCCCAGAGAGGGAACACGAAACAACATTTCGAGCCCTCGGCCCTAAGAAGCCCCTACGAGGCCCCAAGAGGCCCCTAAGAGGCCCCAAGAGGCCCCCACGAGGCCCTCAGGAGGCCCCCAAGAGTCCCCCAAGCGGCCCCAGGAGGCCCCCCAAATGCCCCCCCGAGCGCTCCAGGAGTCCCCCAAGCGGCCCCAGGAACCCCCAAAACGCCGCATTGACACCAGGCCCTCGGGCAAACGGCAGACATGAGACCGTATGGGCCGGCGGAATGAGCGAAGCGATTCAATAATAAAGTTGCTAATAGGTTTTGAAACATTTTAACATCATCGCCTTGTCCGTCTCAGAAGCGCCGAAGACGGTCCAAAGGGCCCCCAAGATCGCCCCAAGAGGCCCCCAAGAGGAGCCATGACGGTCCAAGAGGGCCCCAATATAGCCCTGGAGGCCCCCCAAGACGACCCCGAGAGGCCCCCAAGATGGCCTCAAGAGGGTGAACCCGCACGGACCCTTCTAGTCCTCCACCCCAGGACCCAGGAGCCCCCAAGATGCCCCCGAGGCGCCCCCAAGGGGCCCCCAGAGGCCCCCAAGAGGTCCCTCAGAGGCCCCCAAGAGGACCCCGAGAGGCCCCCAAGAGGCCCCAAAGGCCCCCAAGAAGCCCCAAGAACCAAAAGGCCCCAAGAGGCCCTCACTCGCGTGCTGCCAGGACAAAGGTGCACGGCCTGACTTGGTATTGCTCGGAAGCGAAAGCGATGAACGAAGAACCTTCCACCGGTCGCCGTCACCAGTCGTCGGTCGTCGGCCGTCGGCAGCCGTTCGCCGTCAGTCGTCGTCGTCGTCGTCGTCGTCGTCGTCGTCGTCGTCGTCGTCGTCGTCGTCGTCGTCGTCGTCGCTCGTCGTCGTCGTCGGTTCGTCGTCATTAACTCCTTCGTCGGTCGTCGTCGCAATTATCCCGCTCGTCGACCGTTGGTCGTCCGTTGTCGTCGTCATCGTCCATTTCAACAACAATAGCATCAGGAGCGCGCCGGATCGGCGGCACTGGCCAGAGGCCACTACAACACATAACAATCCCACTACGTGGGATAGCGTATGCTTCGATGGACACCACTGGGGGGGCGAGAACTTAAACTATCCACCGTCCACCGTCCACCGTCCTCCCCTCCTGGCGTCGCCATTTCGGTTATGGTTGCTATCATCGCCAATGCTCACTGTTTCCTGGTCATCGCCGCAATCGCACGTGCCAGCTCGCCCGCCCCGCACGAAGACCAAAGCCTGGTGCACGGATTAATTCATTAGGCTACGCCTGAGAAGCCTTAAGATAAAGAAGGCGTCCTCGAGATGGGCGGCGAGACAAGAAGTGCAGGACTACAGTAGGTGGTTAGGAGGACTTACCCGACCCCAGCAGCACCTGTCGCACGCGTGCCCTCGAACATGTTTTCAATGTTGCACGATGGATCTTTATACGGCGTGTTTAGCAGGAGGGAGCAGGCTATCAGAAGCAAACGGCCCCGAATTCCTGCACACGGTCGACCAACCGATTTTGCAACCTTCAAGAGAGTGTATGTGTGTGCGTGTGTGTGTGTGTGTGCGTGTGTGTGTGTGTGTGTGCGTGTGTGTGGGCGTGTGTGTGTGTGTGTGCGTACGTGCGTGCGTGTGTGTATGTATGTGCGTGCGTGTGTGCGTGTGTGTATCTGCGTGCGTGCGTGTGTTGGCAAGAACAAAGGGGCCATAATTGGTGCGCGCGCGGGGACAACTGTTCGACGACTGTGGCGGCCGGAGCGGCGTGAGCAGGAAGCACGAAGATAGGTGGCACCTCTGGGCCCCGAGATGTAGCCGAAACTTGCGCACTCCTCCCAAACGCCGACTGCAACATCCCGAAGACCGCGGAAATTGGAGATCGGAGATCGGCCGATACTGCCGCTGGCGCCCATGTGCAGTCAAGCGTTGGCAAGATAGCCCATACGACCACCTTCTATCGCAATGATTACCCCTGCAAAGCGCAGGAGGAATACCAAGCCGAACCGGAGTCCAAACAAATCTGAGAGGATCCTTGGGGTGTCGTTTTGAATTCGGGTTGGAATCGTTTTGGGGTTGCTTCGAAATTGGGGCATTATTGTTGGATTGATTACCGTGTCCTTTTGTAACATGTTAGGCACATTTCAAAAGGTCTTGGAGCGTTCCTGGGCCCTCTTGGCGGCCTCTCTGGGGCTCTAGGGCCCTGCTGGGAGCTTTTGGAATCATTTTCGGACGGGCTCTTCGGATACTCTTTAGCATTATTGGGAGCCTTTTGTGGTCCTCTTGGGGCCCTCTTGGGCTGTCTTCGGGTCATTTGGGGTCCTCCCGGAAACTCTTGGGACCGCCAGAAGCCTCCCAGGAGCGACATCAGAAGCTGAGGAGGCCCTCCTGGATAGAATACAATCCTGGAACCCCTCGGGTTCTCCTAAAAGGACTTTGGTGTCACCTGAAAACTCTTCAAGCCCTCTTCGCGACCCCTCCGGGCCGCCCAGGAGCTCTGCAATCTCACACTACCCATGACACCTATTCGGATTCCACAATATCGTGGGTTTCCCAAGCGCTACTTCCAATTCTGCAATTCCTGAGGCTACGGGGGTTTTGCCCGCGGCAAGGGGCAGGGAGGCAAGAGGCACAGTGAGCCCACCTGGCCCGCAGGAGAACAATCCCGCCTGCGTGGCTTGTGAAGCACGCAGGCCCAGACGGCCCGCAAGGGGCCGACTGGGCCTGCAGTACAACGTGCTTACATTCCCCAGCAGCAAGCGCACCAATTAGGTGCTTCCGTTTACCTGGATGTGCCGGATCCGCGGGACCCTTCAACCCAGGGGGCCCCGCTCTGGCGACGCGTGTACCCTGGCCGGACGTGGCTGTTCCACCCGCCTGGTCTCAGCGTGGACTGCTCGCTACCTGGCCGTGTGTGATTACGGGGAGCCTTCCAACCCAGGAGGCCGTCGCACTCATGTTTCCGCCAGCAAGCGCACCAGTTTGGTGCATCCGTTTACTTGGTTGAGCCGAGCCCGCGGGACCCTCCAACCCAAGGGGGCCGAACTAGCAAAGCGTCCACCCTGGCCGGCTGTGGTACTCCACCTGCCTAGGTTCCTGTGTGGACCGCCCGCTATCTGGCCGTATCGACCGCGGGAAGCCTTCCAACCCAGGAGGCCGCCGCACCTCTGTTCCCACCAGCAAGCGCACCAGTTAGGTGCACCGCTCTACCTGGTTCCGCCGCTGGCTGGGAGCGCGCGCCTCCAGCCCCGGCGGCGCCTCCTCCATGCCCACGCTCCCGCGCAGCATCGAACCCAGGCACTGCGCGGTCGAGACCGGGCGGCCCTCTCCCCCGCCTCCCCCGCTCCGCCCTGCCTCTGGCCCTCCGCCCCTCGCCAAGCGAGCGAGACTGGGCCGACCCCGCCAGGCCTGCACCCGCAGCACGTGCGGTCGGCAGGGGCTCCACCCCTGCCCGCGGCGACCGCTGCCCAAATGGGGGTCGCCGCCGTTGCGGTTCACCTCCCGCTGTGCCGCTCCGGCCGCCGCCAGCGCTGCCCCTCCTTTTTTCTCCTGGCCAGCCCGTCGAGCGGCTCGGCTTCCACTACCGCCCTAGGCCGTGTTGCTGCGCACCGGCCGCTGGCAGCCCGCCCCCCCCCCGCGCACCATGCCTCAAGCACGCAAGCGCTACAGCCCCTGCGCCACCGGTGGTCTTGCTCCTGTCGCAGTCGCTGTTCGCCTCTCGGGCCTCCGCTGCTGCGGCCCGCCCCCACCTTGCCCACGCAGCCCGTCGCCAACTGGGCCCCCTTTCCCCCGCTGTGAGGGCTAGCCCGTGCGCCACTTGCACTGGGCCACGCGCGCTTCTACCGTGATGCCGTGCACCAGCTACGAGTGGCGCCTCTTTCTCTCTGCCTCGCTCCCCCTCGCCCCGCATCCGGAGTGCTCTGGTCGCCCGTCCCGCGGAGCCGCCTACCTCCATTGCCTTGGCATCGTGCAGCCGCTGCATCGCCGGCCGACAAAGTCGCTGGCCCCACGCCGCCGTCCCCCTGCCGTCGGCTACTTGGTCTTCAGCCTGTCCCCCCTTACATGCCCAGGCCTCGCCCGTTATGTGGCTGCCGGTCCCCGCCCTGGGTGCACTGTGCCGCCGCCCCGCAGCCGCTGCCAGCGTGGACCTCAGCCAGGCCGCTCCCCGCCCTTCAGCGCTGCCCCGCCGCGTGAGCGGGCCCGGCGCCCCCCCTCTCCTCCGTCTCTGCGGCCGTCCGGATTCCCTGCTCTCCCTCGTGCAAGCTGGCCAATTCGTGACCTCGTGCCCCGGCGTCACTCGGACGCGCGTGCGGGTTGCCTCTGCCGCGCTGCGACGTAAAAAGAGTTTGCCCGTGATGCCGCAATTCCTGGGACCCTTAAGGCAACCCAGCACTACTACGAAGAGCTGGTATCCCAGAGGTGGCTGCGATCGTGGAGCAGAAGCCACACTCATATCTGCACATCTCGCCCTGCCCACGGCTCCGACGCCTGCAGAAAACCCAAACAAAGGAGGGGAATGTAGGATGCCTGTTCCATTTCTCGATCCCTCGATCCCTGACTTGCCCCCACTTGCGCCGCTAAATTGCATAAGTGAATAAGGGTCCTGGTCGAGACGGGTTCTGAACCCCTGGGGTTTCACCGAGGCGCGCTTCTCACCCATAACCGTTTTCTTGTCCCAGGGCACGGGGAGGACACCGAAACTAAGAAAACATCATGGTTGAACACAGCATTTCGCTCAACCTCGCCTCCTCAAATCGGCCCCCCAAGCAGATTTTCGAGCTGCGCCCAACCGTGGCGACGAAAATCTCCAAAGACGCCCAAACACATCCGACACAAAGTCGTCGACCTGAAGGGAACCCATCAGGACCCTTCCTCCTCTTCAGGCTGAATGCAAGCTGGCGGCGTCTGCCAGTCGAGAGAGGCAGAAAGCGGCAGCCTTGAGGTCCACCTGCTGGGACAGCAGCTCGTGGAACACATATCCGCTGGCTCTCCCTCTGCTGGCGTGTAGCACCAACTGAAAACCCAGACCTCCAGCGTTTTGAACGACAACAAGAAATCTACTTTAAAACCTATGCTCGGTGTTCGTTTCGGGTTCTGGGGCCGTCAAAAAACGAGCCTGGACGGAAAACGAATATGTGGGAGCTTGTCGAGAGGCCCGGGACCCCGCATCGAAACATAGGAGAGAACGCGTTTCACGGGCGCTTGCCTTGGGAACATTCGGCGGCGCGTTTCGAACCCAACCCTCGGCGCCGTCGATCAGAACCAGCGCCCCCCCCCCCCTCGGCGCCGGCGCCCGCGCTGGCGGCCGCCAGCAGCGCCGACGGCGGGGACGCAGCGACGATGACCAGAGAGGGCCCAAGGGGAGGAGTGCCCGCGCCGGCGCTGGCGGCGGCCAGCAGCGCCGACGGCGGGGACGCAGCGACGATTACCAGAGAGAACCCAAAGGCCGCAGAGGGAGCACGCAAATCGCCATATCGAACCCTCGCCCCCCAGAAGCTACCGGGAGGCCCTGAGGAAGGTCCACGAGGTTTCACACATGCTCCTCAGACGCCCCCGAGACCCTTCTGACGAGACCTCAAGAGGCATCATCAAGTAGAACTCTGGCCCAAAGCCAAAACACGGTAGCGGAAAGAGCCGAAGGCCAGACCACCACCACCACCACACCACCACAACCGCCACCACCACCACCACAACCACCACAAGCACCACAACCCACCACTACCACACCCACCACCACCACCACAACCCACAACACTACCACCACCAAAAACGCCACCACCACCAGCACCACCACAACACACCACAACCCACCACAACCACCACCACCACCGCCACAAACCACCACATCATTACCACCACAACCACCACCGCCACAACCCCTACCACCACCACAACCCACCACCACCACAAACCACCACACCACCAACACCACCACCACGACCGCCACAACCAACCACCACCACAACCACTACCACCAACACCACAACCACCACGACAAACCACCACACCACACCCGCCGCAACCACCACCACCCACCTCCACGACCACAGACACCACCACCACAACCACCACCACCACAACTCACCACCACCACCACCACAACAACCCACCACCAGTACAACCACCACCACCAGTCTACCACACCACCACCACCACCACCACTACCAGTAGCACGACCAACCACCACCACCACCACAAACCACCACACAACCACCACCCCCACCCCCACCACCAGCACCACCTCCACAAACCACCGCCACCATCACCACCGCCTTCACCACCACCACCAACCACCACAACCCAACCACCACCACCACCGCCACCACCACCACCACCACCACCACCACGACCCACCACCACCACAAACAACCACCACACCACCACCAAACCACCGTTATCATTACCACAACCAACCCCGACCACCAGCACCACAACAACAAACCACCACACCAACACCACCACAACCACCACCACAGCCACCACCACCACCACCACAACCCACCACCACCACCGCCACAAACCACCACACCACCACCACCAATCACCACCACAACCACCACCACCACAACAAACCACCACCACCACAACCACCACCACCACAACCACCATCACCACCAACCCACCACCACCACCACCGCCACTACCACCACCACAACCACGACGACAAACCAGCACACCACCACCGCAGCCACCACCACCACCACCACAAATACCACCACCACAAAAAACCACTGCACCACCCATCACCACCGCCACCACCACCACCACAACCTGCCATCACAACTACCACAACAACCGGCACCGCCACCAACCACACCACCACCACCACTACCACCACCACCACAACCCACCACCACCACCACCACCACAACCACAGCCCGCCACAACCACCACCACCTCAGAGAGGCCCCAAGAGACGCCTAAGAGGCGCCCAGGAGGTTGCACAAATGCCCCTCAGAGGCCCCCGAGAGCCTTCCGACGAGACCCCAAGAGGCATCCATAAGGACTCTGACCCAAAACCACGGAACGGTGGCGGAGCGTCGTCGGCGTCGTCGCCGTCATCGTCGTCGCCGCTGTCCTCGTCGAGGCTCCCCGCCGCCGCCGCCCGCCGCCGCAGGCGCCAGCGCCAACCAGAAAAGAAAGCCGCCGCCGCCAGCCACCGCTGACGCAGGCGCCGGCCCGAGGAGAGGGAGAGAGGAGAAGTAGGGAGGGGGAGGGGAGGGGTGTGAGGGTGAGTCCGGTTCCAAACCCCCTCCTCCAAGCGACCACAGAACGCACTCTTTCAAAGATAGATATCAAGACATTGGGAGTCTGGGATTCCTGGAGCCGAGCCGGCCGAACTTGGACTGGAGCACGGCCCTAATCGGCGAGCCGACCAACAAAAAACACCCTTGCGGGCGGAGGAGGAGGAGGAGGAGGAGGAGGAGGAAGAGGAGGAGGAGGAGGAGGAGGAACGTCCTAATCGGCGAGCCGACTTGAGCAGCCAAACCGGACCACTTCGAACCGCACGGAAGTGGCCCTGGCCCCCCCTGGAGATTCCGCATGCCCCCCTCGGATCCCTACGTATTACCCCCGAGATTCTCGACCCCCTCCCGAGGCCCTCGGGTTCCTCGCCCCACGCTTTCCCTTCCGTCGGATTCCTGACCCTCGCATGATTTCGGAAGCCTCCCCCTCAAATCGGTCGGGCCTCGGCCCAGCTGAACGCCGACGTGCACGATACAGCGACGTGGAGGACTGGATCAATCCACTTCTCCACGAGTCTGCGCGCACAGGGCGCATGACTTTGTTTTTCTCTCCCCTCGCCCTCGCCCTGAAGCTCATAAAACTGTGAGCGCTGAGACTGCTCCCAGCGGGACGGAAGTGCCCTCCTCCCGTCGTCGCGGTCGTGCGGGCGTGGGGGCGCGGGAGGGGGGGAAGCTCCGCGCGCTCGCGCCACATCTGCCATCCCTGCGCAGGGCGTTGAATATTCGGCAGTCCGCCGAATGGGGTGTCGGGTGTCCTAGAAGGCCTTGGCCCCCAGATTGCAGCAGTTGCAGGACTCCATCGCCGGCTGCGCGCGGCAGGGGCAGGCAAGGGGGGAGGAAAGGAGGGGGACGGCGACGACGAGGAATGGATCGAACCCAGCAGCGTGGCCTGAGCAAGGGGGCGCGAGCGACGCCCGAACGACGGAAGCAAGGCGGCGATCCAGAAATCCGGCAAAAGCTGCGGCGGGAACACCGTCTTGAAGGACCGGAGACTTTCCGAATGGACTAAGGCATGAAAACTAAACGTAGCTTGAAATCCTGTGTGCGTGTCAACAACCACCGCGCGGGAGCGCGGGAACGGCAGCACGCTGTCAAGGAAGAGAGGAAAGTAGAGTTCACGCAACGTGTAGGTGTTTCCAAGCTTGGTTGACCAGGAGTGGGGGAGGGGGAAGAAGGGAAAGGCAGAGGGAAAAAGGAGGGGGAGAGCGAGGGAGGAGGATGGAAGAGGGGTACGAGAGAAACCGGCGAGGCACCTCGCAGACATTGCACCTGCAACGCACCTGCGAGACACCTCCTTCGAATCCCCGGTGGCCGTACCGGCCCGCCTGGAACAGAACCACCCTGGCCCCCCTCCCACTGGCCGAACCGACCCGAACTCCCCAGACCGAGCTCCCCAGATTGGACGGGCGCCGAAACCCAGCAGTTGCAACCGAACCGGCCCGCCGCCGAACCGACCCGAATCTGACCCTCCATGCGAGTGTGTGTGTGTGTGCGTGCGTGTGTGTGTGACCACGAAATCCCGGCGCTGGAATTCATGGTCTGAGCGGGCTCCTGCTCCTTCGCCTCTCGCGCTCTATTTTTGTTCGCCTTCGTGCCTCAATTCGCTCCCAGCAAACCCCACCGCTTGCTTGACCAGCGTCTGACTTTCTGGGACCACTTGGCGCCCCCGGACTTACAACAGTGTGTGTGTGTGTCTGTGCGTGGGGGCATCAGGCTGCAAGGGTTAGTTTATTTTTCAGCAACTGAGCATCCCAGTTATGTCCAGGTGCAACGGCGCAATTCGCAACATTGCATCCTTCTTACAGTCTCAACTTTGCAGCAGTGATTCGACGTTGTCCACGCGCGCGACCCACCTCGGCCTGAAAACACTTCGTTGCATAGCCAGAACACCTCAGAAACTGTAGGCGCTATGGGGCAATTGCATATTGTTCTGCACTGACTTGCTGTTCACCATTGCAGCCCTGACTGAATCAACCACGGAGCAGTTTGTGCCTGCCACAAACGACCGAGACATCAGTTGTAAGTTAGGAGCTTGAGCTGCGAAGAAACCAAGAACTATCTCCCTGCCAACGGAAAACTTGCGACAAGGTGTCACCGAGTAAAATTCAGGCCTCCCATCTTTTTTACGCCAACCTGAGATGTGGACGTTCTCGCCCAACTGGCGATTATCATGCAACTTCTGCGCGTTCCCCGTAACTACTGGGACCGCTCCAGAAGCCCTGAGCAGAAAAGAACACGTGTCGCGCGCCGTTTGTTCTCGGCGCGCCCATGTAGACGAAGTCAGCATCACAGCAAACCCCACGGCAAACCTTGCATCCGAGACGGAGTTTGCCCTGGTGGCCGAGGCGCCCTCCCCAAGACGTAAGGCCGCGTGTCGGAACAGACGGCGCGGCAACACTTGTTTTTACTGACAAGCCGAGAGCCCCGCGGCAGAGGAGGGGGGAGGGGAGGGAAAGTCGGGCAACACATCACTACCCTGGCGGCCTGGGCCGCTCGGAGCGGCAACACATCTCTCGGGGGCTGTTTTTACTTCCGCGGCTTCCGCCAGCGGAACCGCTGCCAGCGGAGCCTTCCTCGTTTTACTTCCGCCGGCTTCCACCTGCTTGTCGCCGAGGATGGCGGGTCAACCTCTCGATCCCTCGAGGCCAAGGCCTTCTCTGGAGCGACCCGTACTATCTACGGCATAACGAGCTATCACGCTGCACGGTTTCGTGCACGAGCTGCCAGACAGGGGCCGCGAGAAGCAAAGGTGGAGGAGACGAGCACCACCAGATGCTCAGGCCCTGCAGGGTCATCGGCAACCCCAGCCAGGTCGAGGCACGACATATCGCGGGGTGGCACATCCTCTTGTGCGGGACGGGAGAACAACTGCTGGGCCGCCCGAGGAGACAACTGCTCGAAACCGCGACCTACGGTGCCCTCATCCGTAGTGCAAAATACGAGCCCGCTCTCAGGAGGCCACGATCCTTCACCACGATGAGCCCATCCTCCTCGACCCCGGATCCATGATCGAAAGCGGCGACCCTGCGCTTCCGAATACACGATACATTCTGAAGAAAGCGGGTCCCGGTTCCCGAAGCCATGACCACGATACACAATGGGTCCTCGCTCCCGAGCCAAAGATCCGCTCGTAGACAAAATGGGCCCGCACTCACAGGGCCAAGCCCCCTCGTGCTAGCAGGATGGGCCCGCACTCCCGAGGCCACGGTCCTGCCGAAAAGCAGCGATGGACCTGCGCTCCCGAAACCACGGCCCCCCTCGTGGAACACACGAGACCCGCCCAAGGCCCCATCTCTTCTGCGAGCAGCAAGAGGCTGGCGCGTCCGAGGCAAAACTCCATGCTACAACATTGACCATGATGGTCCCCGAAGCCATCAGCCCTTACGCATGCCGCGATCCCTCACGAAGAACACATATCCGCTCGCTCTTGTTGTTTGTGTCCTGTGCCTACGCGGCTGACTCAGCAGCAGGCCGAAGAAAAACTGTCGAACGTAATCGACCGAAGCGTAAAGGGTGGCGATAAACTCCCTAACGTAGGACTCTTAACCCTCTGCAGAAGCCGCACAGAGGCAGCGCAAAAGTCTTCGAGGGCCGAACGCACCCTCATTCTAGCGCCTGCGCTCCGCGCCCCGCGCTCCCGAGCCTACGATCCCTCGTAGAGAATCATGGCCTAGGCCTTCGAGACCACGATCCCGTGCTGAAGCCATGGGGGGGCCTCCAAGAGGCCCCGGAGACGCCGTAAAGAGGCCCCAAATCTGCCCCCAGGACATCTCCCAAGTGACTCCAATAAGCCTCGCAAAGGCTCTGGCCAACGACCTGGGCACGGTAGTGGGACGGGCCGAATGCGACTAGATCCGCCGCCCACCGTGCTTGCCACACGGGTGTTTGGCTGCGCTGGAGCATCCAACGGCCCCCTCGCAGGGTGCATAATGGTTCTGCGCGGGCGCAGCGACGGTCCCTGTTAAACATGCCTGTGGCCCCGTTTCTTCCTCTGACGTTCCCTCTGCAGCGAAGGAAATGTACCAGGCCATCCTTCCATCCAGCCAGCCTACCAGCCCGACAAACCAGCAAACCAGCAGGGTTGCCAACCTGCCAACCAGTTAGCCTATCAACCTGCTACCAGCCTAACCGACCTGCCCAACCATGCATGCAATCGCAAAGGGGGGCCAGCGGCAAGGTCAGAAACTCTTGAGATAAGATTGCCAACTTGTGTTTCTGCTTCAGCCCGCCGTGCCGGAACAAGTGGGCCATAACGCCCAACACCTGCGGCAATGGTTTGGGGTCCGCATGGACCGCCACTCTCTGTGCGGTTCGTCGGATAGTCAGTGGCTAAGCACAGAGACCCGGGTAACATGACCGATGAATGGAAAGACCCACGCCTCCCTCTTGCAGAGCAAAGGGGCTGCCAAAGCCCCGCCACTGCCAGCGACACTGTCGAGACAACAGCCCCAAAGCAGCGACGAACCCGCCCAACCCCTCCGCGATCTTCGGTTCACACGGATCAGGGCAGGCTGTCCAGGGGCCAACCCGACAACCTGGAAAGGACAAGGACTGCGACAAGAGAGAGGACAACTTCTGATGCTCCGCTGATCCCATTCTCTGGAACATGTGACGGGGGGGGGGCAAACTACGTTTCAGCGCCCTGTGCCGACATCGCATGCCCAACTGGCGGTTACAAGTCGTCGCAAATTACCAAGCACAACGCTGGACACTGACAAAAGGAGGAATCCACCGACCCTGTTGGCGTGTGTGAGGGGCTTGTCCGTTCGAGTCGTCGCCTCCGTCATTTATTAGTCGTCGTCTCTGTCGCCTCCTTTCCCTGCGGCCCCCATTTCCCTGGGCCCCCAGGAAACTCCTGGAGGCCCCCGAGAAGCTCCCAAGAGGCCCCCAAGAGTCTCCCAAAACGCCCCCAAACTGCCCACCAGAAACCCCACCAAAGGCCCAAACCTTACCTCGACTCTTCCTCCCCATGCTCCTCCTCCTCCTGCCCCTCCTCCTCCCCCTCTTCCGCGTCCTCCTTCTTGCCCTGCTCCTCCGACTCCAATGTTCCTCGCCCTCCTACTGCTCATTCCCCCCCCCATCTTCCCTCTGCTCCTGCTCCCCCTCCTCATCATCTCCGCCTCCTCCTCTTCCTACTCCTGCTGCTGCTGCTCCACCACGTCCTCCGCCTCCTCCTCCTCCTGCTCGTCATCCCCCTCCTTCTCCTCGTTGTCCTCGTCGTCGTCTTCAGGGTCGGCGGCACCGGACGTGAGGCCTTCACAATCTGATTTGGACTTGGACGCTCATGTCCACAGTACACAATGATGAGTTAGTCGCATCCTTGCAGCAGATCTGCGCGCAACCTTCATACCATGATCTCAATCACAGTTCCACCGTAACGCGCCCAATGGTCATTCTGCTATGATGGTGTGCGGTGTACTGTGTGCAGCCACGCCCACCTTTTCATTCGTAGCAAAACTGGCACGCAAATCTCGACCAGTTGGGACACACGTCTTCGCGGAGCACAAGCACTTGTTTCGACATTACCTGTGCGTATCCTCAGCGTCAGTCGCTAGCTGTCCTTGACCCCAGGATATTAGCAACTTCGGCTGAGACTCTCAATCCTGTTCCCTGGGATAGTGCAGCATTGACGCGACGCGCGGTCATGAATCACGCGGCTTGAATACGCGGTCAATGCATCGCCTCGTGGGCTGTCCTGTAAGACCAAGGAGGCGAAACGACCAATGCGCATCACCTCAACAAGCGATCACGGCGGCGCCGCTGCGATGTTAGCAACGGGAATGACGACGACAGGGACGACGTCGGCGGAGACCGTGACGGCGACATGGTGAGCGCCTTGGCGACGACGAAGGCGACGGCGGTGACTGCTCTAGAGTACTTCAGAAGGTCGAGAGGCCTTTAGGGACTCTATAGGACCCTCGATGGCTCAAGAAGGACTTTGCGAAGCGTCTTTACAGTGGACTTTCTCAGGGCGGCTCTAGAGGGGGAGATGGGCGTCGTGAAGTCAGGGCCTCCAGAGGGTCCGTTTTGCAAGATCAAAACTTTGAAAGGAGTATTGGAGGATGAAGGGCTTGCCCTGCAATCTCATATGCACCCACCGATTTCGGGGGGGGAGGGGGAGCGCGTGGTGCCAGGGGACTTCCCATGGGTTCCCGAGGGGGGGGAAGGTTGATGCACAATGTGGAGGTAACTCTGCCAGGGAATTAGGTGGGGGTGCCTTCACTGGGCCTGAATTGGTTGCTCTACTGGGGTTTAGGGATGTGGTGTGCCCTTCCTGGATCCCAACGTGTGGGCAGGGGGGTGCATGGTGCAGGGGTGGCTCAACCAGGGCAGTGATTTCAGCGGGCTTCTCCCGAACTTTTGGCGAGGGTGGAAGGGACCATGTTGCCAGGATGGCTCTGCCAGGGCATGTGTTGGGGGGGGACTTGCCCGGAATCTCGACGGGCGGGATACGCGCATGGTGACGAGGCGGTGGGAGGAGCTTCTCCCGAAAGCCTTAGGAAGAGGCGGGTTCAGGAGTGGAGGAAGCGGAAGTGGAAGCAGAGGAGAGGGAGCGCCACGGACAGGCATCGTGAGCCATGTACCTTTGCACCCTACACGCGCATCAACGTACAACTACAACATACCTGTGCAAGCGCGAGATGCACAACAAGGAAAGTAATGCCCCCTACAACTTCTTACCCTCTACGTTTCTCTAAAACGAGTCGGGGTTGACACCTGGCTAATGTCTGGGTGCATTGGTCTTCTGCAACTCGCGCTCTCTGCTATCCTCTCCCGCTGCTCCGGCAACGTCCTGGGTCCGCGCGGCTTGGGCCTCCTCGGTGCTGGCCGCGGTCATGTAGACGGAGGCCGCCCTCGTGGCCGTAGTCGGTATCCTCGCCGTTCAGGGCGCTCAAGTGGGCTCCGCTGTGTGAGCGGGTTGGTGGGTGGGTTGGGGGGAGTTGCGTGTCCTAAGTCTCAACGCCGCCCTCCTAGAGATTCAACGACGGCGGGTAATGCCCCCTCTGGGCTGTTCGTTCCCGTTCCCGTACAGACTTCGAGAAAGATGTGTGGGCATGCCGACGCAGAGGTCTCTCCTGGGCAGCCGGCTGCGAAGGAGCAGCCCAACGGACGTGGGCGTGGCCCTACAAAACTTATCCCAGCAAAGCATCCGAATAGCAACAAAGATGAAGAGGCGGGTCGAGAAGGAGAAGGTCGGATGTAGAGGGCAAGGGTGAGAGCACGGCCACGTGCACTTTAGAAGGGATTGCGGCCGTCCAGAACAAAAACGTAGACGGCATGAGGGCGAGACCATGACGCCTGAATACCTTGCGGGGAAGTCTCAAGCGAAACGGCTGTCGGACCAGGTGGCCTAGGGCTCCCTGGCCCCCTTGTGGGACTCTTCTGTGGGCCCTTCTTACATCTATAAGAACACTCTAGCGAAACGCAAGTCGGGGATAACAACTGCGCAACCAGACACTGACACAAACTCAGCCAGCGGAAAGCCGCACTTTTGGGGCCGTCGGACCGTTCTGGGGGCGGTCTTCGGCCAGCCTGGGGCCGCGTAGGGCTTCGCCCCAAGTCCAGACGCTGGCTAGATCACACACGCTCACGGCTGGCGGGGCAGACGGACGCGAAGCTCCGCACACGGCGGCAGCACGGAGTGGCCGCGCCCCGGCACGCGCGACAGGTCCTGGACTTGTCGCTCATGGCCTCGACAGTTCCGAGGCTCATCAGATCCCTCGGCAGGAGGGGAGGGCTTGGGATTGTAATAGGCACGTGGCACGAGGCCCACAGGAAGGCCCGACACGCATGAGCACACGTGAAAATCATGATTACCCTCGTAGCCAGCCGCTCCAACTCCCGATTGTCAAACTACGTGAGTGGCTATGTAGATCTTCCGACGTGACATGTCAACTGTTCATCTGAAGACTAATTTCTACATGCGCATGGTGTGTGCCACGTTTGATGAAAGTACGTCAGAGAAACACATGGTGCATACACTTCGGGCGGCACGCAACCTGCAATGTTGCGCTGGGCTTTCCTGCACTCGGCAACTGGGCAATCCTGCCCCGCATTGCTCCACCGTGCTCGTGTTCGATTCCACGCCCTCCCAAACAATCGGCAACCACCCTGCAGTCACCCCGAACTGCGTGCACCTCACTGCTGCCTCTGGCAACGCCATTGTTCCCAGCCATCCTGTGATATTGGGTCCTTGTTTGGATTCAGTAGCGCTCCGCGTCCTCTGTTCCTCACCTCCTCCCTCCTCCAGTCCCATGCCTCAGCCGCCCGCATGCCCAATTTTGGACACCCATCACATGCCTCGTGGCCCCTCAGAGAGCTCAACAGAAGCTCCCAGGGAGGAGGGGGGGGGCGTACGCAGGACCCCCGCACATGCGTGACCACGATCACGCCGGCATTTTCCTCACACGATTCGTGGCCCCAGAGGGCGCTCCACCGAAGGTCCCGCCGCCTGCTGCTCCCCAAGGCCGCGCCGAACGACGCGCAGATCAGCCGTGGGCCGTAACTGATTATGTCCAGATCACGGCCGACCTGCGCGACCCCATCATCAACGTCTGTCCGTCCTTCTCACGCGCGGCTTCGTCTTTTTGCTGGCCCCCCCCTTAGTTTCCACCTGTCCTGCGGTACTCATAGCTGCACATGGTTGGATCCTTCGCCCGGCGAATGCTTTTCGAACCCGCAGATTGCTCGTGCCTATTACCGGGATTATGATTGTCTGCCTCATACACACGAGTCACGGCAAGGCCACAGCCTGTTGCATCACGCTTTGTACATGGTTGCGACGCAGCTCCTCCACATGGCCATCAGACATGTGTGTCGAAGAGGACTGCGGCGACGATATTTGGCCGAAACTTTGCTCGCATCAACCACTTGGCCGACCAATGGCTTGCCAGAAACTGCCAACCGGCTACGTCAGACGCGTGCCATTGGCATATTTCGATGCACGCCACCCTTGGCCGTTGAGGGGATTCGGCTTGTGAGGTGGTCCCCCATGCTGCTCTCGCGTTTGAGGTATTTCTCCCCGTCCGCTTGCATTCGGACAGCGGCGGTACGCATCACAACGCCTCAACTGTTTACCATATGCTCCGATTTATTTGTATTACTTTGTTCACTGATGATGCTGATTCTCTTCTAAAACTTACGTTATGTATGTCGCGCCCGTGAATTCTTCACTGCACGCCTGACCATTTATGTGTTCAGTCCGGGCGGTTGCGGATCAGATTGAGGGGTCGCGGGTCGCGGCGAGCGCGGGCGAGGGAGCGCGTCGAAAGCGGAGTCGCGGAGGCGCACGACTATGTTTTCATTCACGGCCAGAGCAAAACAGCCCACCGCATGCAAATACTTGTTCAAAGCAGCTTAGTCAGATCGCAGGGTGCATTGTCGGCGGGGTGCGTGGACGAACCGAAGCCCTTGCAAAACAGACCGCCGCTGGCGCCGACTCTTTGACAACGCAGTGTGGTTGGGTCGCGGTGCAGACCGTCAGCGATTCGCGGAGCTCTACAGCGAACGACTTTTCTCCCGCACGACAGTGGCACTCCCCTGCGGCGAACGACTGTGACACTGAAGTGCACCAACCAAACCTAGAGCCATGGAAGGTCGAACTTGTTCGCAAAACCTTGGCTCGTATAGCAGAGCGGGACGAGGCTATAAGGAGGACGAGGCCAAGGAAGGAGGAGGACGAGGAACTCTAAAGTGAACAAAAAACTATAGAGAACAGGGGCAAACCGCAGGCATTTCTCCGCTGCCCGTCTGTCGCGTGGCGGGTCGTCGGCAGGACGTAGACCTCTCAAGCTGGTGTAGAGCAACCCGCCGTCTTATTCGGTAGCAACTGACGGGAGCCTCCCATGCCATCTTGCTGACTTTTGCGGATGGACGCTGGCCGACGCTAGTCGGCGGTCATCAACGCTGTATCGCCGCGAATCGGCGCTAGACCGGCGCTTTCTCATCGACTACCAGACGCTCGCGCAGGCTTGTGCATTCTAGAGATGGACTTTGAGGACATACAGAACCCCCATGATACGCGACCGAAGCATAGGGATATTTTCGTTAGCGAAACCATGCGGGTGGGTCGCGGGGCGGGTGGCGGGTGAGTCGCAAGGCGGGTCGTGGGTGGGTAGCGGGGTGGAGTGCGGGGCGGGGCGCGGGTGGGTCGCGGGGTGGGTCGCTGAGCGGACGGCGACAACGATAATCTACGCTGCTGAATTCAACTTCAACCGCGCACCCATGGACAATGTAGTTCCGTCCAGCCCCCATTACTCCAATGAAGTTTGCTTACACAACTGATCTGTAATGTCTGGACCGCTTGTCGTCTTCCCCCCACCCAGGCGGCAAGCTAGGGCGAGTAAGGGCGCACGTTGGCCCTGCTAGTTTTGGTGGTTCTCTACCTGTTTACCTCGGCGGGGCAGGGAAAACGCCACTACATGCCGCTGCCTGACGCTCTTATCGGCCCCGCGGCGGCCCAAGATTGCCCCACGACGGCTGCTAGATGCCCAGGGAGGACCAGCCCAAAAACTTCGAACGAACCCCCCAGACCGAAATTCTCCACCGTGCCTTTGGTACGTTGGAGCGCGCAAGAACCTGGACTAGCACCATAAGAGAAAGAGCGGTTCGGAAAACTACCCGGAATTGCTTATGGCACTGTTCGTTCTTGGAAACCCCAGCGTTCAGAACTCGCTACGTCACTGCTCGCTTTTGGAAGACCTGGTGTTACGAGCTGCTCCATGACACTAACATCTGTTGAGGGCCTTGGTCTTGAGAAAAGTATACGTCACCGTTCGCTCTTGGGGGGCTTGGCTTCCAGTCAGTAATGCGTACATGTTCGCTCTCGGGCGCCTTAGTGCTCAGAGTTCTTCACCTTTCTATGGACTCGTGGGGGCATTACTATCGCAAGCTTTCACGTAACCGCTCGCTCTTGGGAGCCTCGGCGTTCAAACCAATGTACGTCACTGTTGAGCTTTTTGAGTCACCGCTCGCTTTGGGGAACCTTAGCTGTGCGAGCTGTTTCACGTCACCGCTCGCCCCTGGGAGCCTTGATGTTAAGTGTTTTTTGACGTCTGCGTTGCCGATCTGTGTCTGAAACAGGATGTCACCGCCCTCGGTCCATGGAACAGAAAAAAAGGAGCACCCTGCTGGGCAGTCACTTGACGGCACCAATCAGAAGCTGATTGTTCGCGGTGTACATGTCGTGCGTGTGCGCGAAGCAGACCAACACAGCATACTTCAAACGCTGCTTAGCAGTGCTGTGCCACCCGATGCTCATAAGCATGAAGCGCTCGTCGACCGTGAGGCCGCGGTCCTTGCATATGACAGGCGGAAGACGGAAGGGGCTTCGCCTCGCGGACGTGCCTGGTGGTCGTGCAGCGTCGCAAATAGTGGTTGGTGGTGTCCGGCGCGTGGCACACCTTGCAAAAGAGCGGCGTGTTCTGCCGGAGGTGGCTGAGCATGTCATGGCTGGGTTCCCCAAACGCAGCAGCGCCACGCGAGGGCCTGGTCGTACTTGCCCGTGTACCGCTCTCGGAATTTCAACAATGCCGTGGTGTCGATGTCTGCGAGGTCCGTGCGAGCGTGCCGCTGTGACGTCAGCGCTCGCACTTTGGAATGACTTTGGCCTTTCTGGGCCTGATTGGGGGTCATCTCGGAGCCCCTTTGGGCCCTTTTGAAACCTTTTTGGGCGTCTCGGACTGCCTTGGCCGTCTTGGGTCCCTCTTTGGGGCTTCTTGGGGCTCTCTTGGACCGTCTTGGGGCTCTCTTGGGCAGTCTTGGGGCCCTCTTGGGGCGATACCTGGGCCCTCTTGGGTCGCCATGGGCCGTCGGAAGCCCGAACAACGATAACTTTAATGACCCTCAAACACACAGGAGATCAATGTCGTTTATCTCCTGAGGCCCTTTTCTAGGTGGTCTCCTTGAAAACCTCTTGGGCTGTCTTGGGGCCCTCTCGGGCTATCCGCAGGCCATCGTGAGACATCTCGGAGCGCTCCTGGGCGGTCTGGGGCTCTCTTGGAACGCTCTTCGGCCGTCTCGGAGCCGTCTTGGACCTCTCTTCGCTGTTAGGAGCCTTCTTATTCAGAGATTTATGCGTTTCCGCTCGCTCTTTGGAGCCTTGATGTGAAGATCTTCTTCCGTCGCTGTGAGCTCTTCAAAGCCTTGGTGTTAACTCGCCCACGGGAGCCTTGGTCACGAGCTGTTTACGTCACTGCGTACTCTTCGGAGCGTTGGTGTGGTTGTCAGAGCGTTTCACGTCTCTGTGAGCTGTATAGCATCTTGACGTTCAGAGCAGCTCTGGGGAGCCTTGGTGTTCAGAACTTCTAACATCACATCTCGCTCTTGGGAGCATTGGTGTGAAGAGCTTGCTAGGTCACTATGAGCACGTCGGGGCCTCAATTGTTGTGCTGTCTCTGGGGCTTTTGGGTGGTCCTTTGGGGGGCCCTGTGTATTTTGTTCTCCCTCTCTCTCTCTCTCCCTCCCTCTCTCTCTCTCTCGCTCTCCCGCTCTCCTCAGATAGCCCCATCGAAGTTTGCAAACATGATGCGCGGCGATGATCTATGTGGCGCAACCCCTAAAATCAAAAGCTGCACGGGGAATGAGAAGGAATGAGGTGGAGGCACAAGGCCCACGACACTCCCAAAACCATCGAAGGTTGCATCTATCGGCCCAGACCCCCGCTGGACGCCCGAACACGGTCCGAATGTCACCTGGAAGAGGCGCTCGAAATTTGGAAAA